AGCGTTGATGGAGACCAGGGAGGTGAGGGGCAGGTGCGGGTCCTGAGGTGGCAGCAGGGAGTAGATGACCTGGGCGTTGGTGCCTGAGTCTCTGTCTGTGGCGCTGATGGTGCCTATGTGCAGGGCGGGGCTGTTGTTTTCTCGGACAAACAGGGTATAGGAGGTTTGGCTAAAAGCAGGGGCATTATCATTGACGTCAGAGACTAGCACTGTTATGTTTTGCTGGGTTTGCAACCTGGGTGTCCCCAGGTCAGTGACGGTGATGGTGATGTTGTATTCAGCTTGGCTTTCTCTGTCTAGTGGTCTCTTCGTTTCCAACGTGTAGTAATTCTCAACTGAAGATTTTAGGAGGAATGGGAGGTCTTCTGGGATAGAACAAACCATCTTTCCGTTTTCCCCAGAGTCTTTGTCTCGGACGCTGAAAACCATAGCCACAGTTTCAGGCCAGTTTTCTGGGATTGGACTGGTAATTGAAGACACGGCGATTTCAGGAGCGTTGTCATTTACATCCATCACTTGAATTCTGACTGTTGACTTTCCGAAAAGTCCTCCCCCATCTGTGGCTTGAATGATTATTGAGTATGAATCAATTGCTTCAAAATCCAAGGATGCTTTTAACCTAACATCTCCAGACTTTTGATTAATTTCAAATGTCTTGCGAATATCTCTGGAGGCATGGGAAAAGGTATATGATATTTCACCATTTATTCCAGAGTCTAAATCCCAGGCTGAGACGGTAACAACTAGTGAGCCAAGGACACTGTTTTCTGGAATATTTACCTCATAAAACGTCTGCTCAAACTGGGGGCTGTTGTCATTAATGTCCACAACCATCACCAGAACCAAGGCAGTCCCAGACCTGGGAGGGGACCCGCCATCCAGAGCAGTGAGGATGAAACTGAGCTCAGGCTGCTTTTCATAATCCAGAGCATTGTCCAGAACTAACTCTGGGTATTTCCTATTGTCTGGATTGACTCTCATTTTAATGCGGAAATGAGAGTTGGGGCTTATTGTGTAGCTTTTTACAGCATTGACTCCTACATCTAAATCCTTTGCGCTTTCTAGCAAGAACACTGTACCAACAGGACTACTCTCTGGGATTTCTAGAAGCATTTCTTTTTCCAAGAATACGGGAGAGTGGTCATTTATATCCCTGACCTCAAGTTCAATCCGTAAAAACTGCATGGGATTTTTCATTAACAGCTGGAAATACAGCACACAAGTTTCCGTGGAGCCGCAGAGCTCCTCCCGGTCTAGCGTTTCGCTTAAGAGCAAATCCCCTGTTTTTCTGTTCAGCTGCAAACACTGTTTGTTATCATTAGAGACCACCCGAGCTTCCCGCAAAGACAGCTCACCCACTTCCAGTCCCAAGTCCTTTGCCAAATTGCCTACAAAGCTCCCGCTCTGCATTTCCTCAGCCACGGAAAAGCGCCCAGTCTCAGAGCCCACCTGAGACATTCCCAGCAAAACAAAGAGAAGCAGGACTTGCCTTATCCACCTAGTGCCTCCCTCTGCGTTCTCCATAGCTCCTTCCCAGAATTTCCGAAGGCTTCTTGCAAAAACGCTTCAACTCCACTTCACAGTTCTGGAAAATGTGCCTCTGATTCACCAGATCAGAGGGTAAGCCTAAAGATTTCCCTGTTGAATGGCTCGGTTATCCCTTGAAGGCGTGTTCTTTCTGTCTTCCCAGTTCTCTGTGCGCAGTGGGTAACAGGGTCCACAGTATCATCAATGTAATGGTTTTTCCGCGATGTTATCCTGCAGCGCCACCACGCGTCTCCACAGATGTTCACAGTCTGACGAAAGCTGCCTAAAATTTCATTGACACAAATTTTCTCCGGAAACAAATATTGTATTTAAGGAATTCATTGTCTTTGTATAATTACAGATATATTCTACATCCCGTAACAACTGTTTTGTGTTCTTCATAGTTTGGGATAATGTTTGTATTTTTTGAAGCATTTCTTCAGTATTTTTTCCTACTCTCCACACAAACAAATGTCCTTGGTTGTGGTGAATAGACATACAAGATGTGATCTGTGGTCCCCAGAAGTTTATAATCTTTCAGAGAAGGTTGTAAAACAAACAAGGAGAGTATAACTGATTGTTAAGCTGAACAAAGTTCCATCATTACTTGGCCTTCCTTGGGTGGTAATGGAAAGGGAAAATGTAGATGGGTCAGTTCAGAAGTTATGAAACTAGACTGACCATGAGACATATTTTGATACCCATTTAGGTGTGACAGCACAAGAAGGCATTTCTTAATGCAATGATTTCCTTAATAGCAATGAACTGTGAACTAGTAGAAAATGAAGGAAGATACTAGGTGGAACACATTATGTAAATCTATAATTTAGTTCCAATTTTTCATAATTTACAAAAATTTCTTAATTACATAAGCATTAACATATCAGTTTTATTTGAAGCAGACCCTTACTCCTCCTAATGCTGGCTTCCCCAGTTTTCCAAGATTTATTCCAGCAACAACTATGGCTATCTGCTTCCTCTTTTAGCCCAGGAAGTAAAAGTAAGAGAAATTCTCTCCTCAAACATAGGACAAAACTTAACTTTCACCATCTAAGAGCATGTGCCTGCTACCAAAGCAATCATTGTTTAAGAGGCATAGAATGATAGGTGGAGATTTTAGCCCCAGAATATAAGGACCTATGTTTGGCCCTTATTTTGGTTTAATCCTGTATGGGACCACCTTTTAAGCTTGGGTGGTTTCAGTCCCAGCAAAGTACATTGTTGCTGCCTCATGAGCGAGATTGTTTGGAATAGACGCTAAGCACTCATGAATAACATCCACTATAGAAGATCTTAAAGTATACTCAGAATGGGTGGAGGAGGGATCTAACAAGTTTGCATTTTAAATTATTAAGATCAAGTATTCTGGGTGGCGCCTGTTGCTCAGTGAGTGCGGGGCTGGCCCAAAACACTGAGGGTGGCAGGTTTGAACCCAGCCCTGGCCAAACTGCAACAAAAAATAGCCGAGTATTGTGGCAGGCACCTGTAGTCCCAACTACTTGGGAGGCAAGAGAATAGCCTAAGACCAAGAGTTGGAGGTTGCTGTGAGCTGTGACACCACGGCACTCTACCGAGATGAGTAAGACTCTGTCTCTAAAATACATAGGAGGAGAGCACCTGTGGCACCAGCCCCTTATACCGAGGGTGGTGGGTTTGAATTCAGCCCCAGCCAAACTGTAACAACAACAACAAAAATAAAATGAAATAAAATATAAAATAAATAAATAAGTAAATAAAAAGAGCAAGTATTCTTTTAAAAAGCTAAATACATGACTGAAAATTGGCACAGAAAGGTAGAAATTGAAAATTAGGTGGATTAACTACACAGTTATTCTCCCTTCTTTTAAAATACCTACTAAAATGACAGAAAAGTAATAAAAATAATATGAACTAACAAAGACTAAGAATGCATAAGTGAATGCATATGTTTTGATGACACAAAGCAAAAGGAAGACCAATTGACATAGTCCTTAGAAATGTCTAAAGTTTCTGCATTAAATATACAATAAACTAGGGGGATTTGCCAAAGGAATTTCATTTAGGTACAAGATTTGGAAGAACCAGGTGCAAAAAAGACTGAAGTCAGTTAAGGACTGGAAAAAAGTTATTAGTTGAAAGTATGTATATGGGAGAGTTGAATTCTCTGTTCCTTTCACCATCCTGCATATACAGAAAAGTAACTAAGAGCCAGAGAATGGGAAGTTTATTCTCTGGAGAAATTAAATTGAACTTTCTCTTGTTTTGGAGATGCAGGCACAACTGAGTGCAAGTGTAATGTGTGAGACTAAAAATAAGGAGGGTAGCAGAACTACTTCAGTACCATTCTAAATAGACTTCTAGCCCTTTTCTATACAATACTGTCAGATTGCAGTATATAAGGTATATACCTGACTGCCACCCCACCTTCACACAGTGGATATTATAAGATTCAAATCAGAGAATATTAAAGTCTCAAATAAAGACTTATACATACTGATATCTGGGGGTCTCCCAAAGTAATAGCCTTATCCTAGCATAATTACAATAGGATAAAAACTTGCCATCAACAAGCCCTTTTCACTCACAAAGATTTGATTGTCAGCATTTTGATATATCATTCTTCTTTAATATGAGAAGATAGCCAAGGACCACAAGGCATTTAAGGAAATGCCTATTATATAAAATAGAAAGGCAAAAACTACCATCACTACCAGAGAGAGAAGGAGAGAGATAATATAGAAAACAGAAGAAAGCCTTTGAAAATATCTGATTAATATTCCCAGAGAAATAAAATCTGGTAAGAGATACTATTTATTTAGTGTTTATTCCATGCTACCCATTGCTCTAAGTGCTTCATATGTATTTACCCATTTAATCTTAATAGTAACTGTAAGAAGTATGTATTCTTATTATAAGAATAAATAATAGTTTGGGACTTATGAGCCCTTTCCTTGGAAAAAAGGTCTTAATTTCCTTGTGACTCACCCCCCCCCCTTTTTTTTTGAGACAGAGTCTCACTATGTCACCCTGGGTAGGGTGCTGTGGCATCACAGCAACCTCCAACTCTTGGGCTTAAGTGATTCTCTTGCCTTATCCTCCCAAGTAGCTGGGACTACAGGTGCCCACCACAGTGCCCAGGTATTTGTTTTTGTAGTTGTCATTGTTGTTTATCTGGCCTGGGCCAGGTTTGAACCTGCCAACCTGCGTGTGTATGGCTGGAACCCTACCCACTGAACTACAGGCGCCACCAGACTCACTTTTACTTTTAAAATGAATACATGGTAGTAATACTACATGATGCATTTTTTACATACTACATTTTAAAAGAATAAATAGACAAATTATAGATGAGAGAAGATATTATAGGTCTATAACAGGATACTACACAAAACATTCAGAGAACAAAAAAGAAACCTCTTAAAATAAATATTTGTGAGCCTTAACAAAAAACTTAAATATAAAAGATTGAATGATTAAATAAATTTTCCAAAAAATGGGAAAAAATAGATAGAAAATAAGAGATGAAAAAAGTTTACAGTCTTATAGAAGCAATCTAGGAGATCTAAAATTTAACTGAGTTTCTGGTTAAAGTGAGAATGTAGAAAACTCCAGGGAAAAAATTATGAGTAAAACATAACAAGAAAATTTCTCAGAACTGAAATGAGAGTCTAAACATTAGTCAGGTGTGGTGGCATATGCCTGTAGTCTCAACTACTGAGAAGGTTGAGGCAGGAGGACATCTTGAGGCCCAGAGTTAGAAGCTGTAGTGTGCTATGATTGCACCTGTGAATAGCCAGTGCACTCCAGACTGGGCAACACAGTGAGACCTCATCTCAAAAAAAAAAAAATTCCGGCTTGGTGCCTGTGGCTCAAGTGGCTAAGGTGCCAGCCACGTACACCCAAGGTGGTGGGTTCGAATCCATCCTGGCCCACCAAACAACAATGACAGCTGCAACCAAAAAATAGCCAGGCATTGTGGTGGGCACTGGTGGTCCCAGCTACTTGGGAGGCTGAGGCAGGAGACTCACCTGAGCCCAGGAGTTTGAGGTTGCTGTGAGCTGTGATGCCACAGCACTCTACCCAGGGGGACAGCTGGAGGCTCCTGTCTCAAAAAAAAAAATTTCCCACAAAACAAACAAAGAAACACCCAACATTAACAGGGGACACTCAGGTGACCATACTAAATAAATAAATATTCAAGGGTACAAGTGAATCTTTCTAAAAGTAGAATATAAATGTCTTAACACAATAACTAAGAAAATGACATAAGGGCTATGTTAACCAGTTTCATGAAAATATTTCAAATTGTATATGAAATCACCACACTGTACCCCATGATTGCATTAATGTACACAGCTAACATTTAATTTAAAAATAAACAAATAAATGGTATTAAGGTTTTTTGGAATACTAGAGAAAGTTTGCCAATATTTCCAGAAGAAATCAAAAAAAGGGTCACATAAAAAGATGAAATCAGAATGGAATCAGCCTTCTGAGTAACAACTTTCTATGCAGTCAATACAAGTAACAGTGCTTTTTGAAACCTGAGGGAAAATTGTTTTCAACCTAGAATTTTATACCCAGTCAAACTATCAATCAAAAGAAAAGAAAAGACAGTAACTTTCTAATAAAAGCTTTCAACACTTTTCACTTCCTCTGCATCCATTTTAATGAAGGTACTGAAAGATATGTGCCAGCCAAATAAGGGAGTAAACTAAGATGATACTAGATCTCATAAAAGAAAATCAACACAGAAATACATTAAAGGGGGGGGGAAGTCAGAGTGACACCTTTAGAGCAGCCAGTGTAAATATAATGGATATGTATCTGATATATTTAAATATTTTAAAGGAAAACATTGAAATTCAAATGATAATATAAAACATCAACAGCAGTAAATAGAAAATTACTCAAGTATAAAATAATTTTAAGCTTGAGGAAAAATGTTTTACAAAAAAAAGAGATGTAACCACACTACACTAAAGCATATATTGAAGAAATTAAATCATTATGAATACTAACAATACTGGTTTGACTCATAAAGAAAACTAGCAATTCTATTGGAGGAATACAAGAAAGGGAATATGCAGTGCTTGCACATACCCTGTTAGAGAGAAAGTTAATTTTTTTTTAATCACAGCAAGAAGTTGTTAAAGTATAAAACTAAATGTCAAGATATAATAGTAGGAATATGTTATTTAGAAATATTGAGATAATTCTGGAAGTCACTACTAAAACAGATGAGATTTTGAAGAAACTATTGTTTTTCTTTATAACCTTTAGTTCATCTTAACTTTAAAATTTGACAACAATTAAATAAATTTGCAAAATAAAATGAAAAGTAAATTATCTTTCCAACAGTTCCACAATATTCTCACACACAAATTTTCAAATGTTTTAAAAGATGGATTTATTATCATGCATTTAAAAAATTTGTTTGGATTATGAGGCATAATTTGTTATACACACATATCCTTATACCTTATATTATCAACAAAAAAGAACATAAAAATATTAGCCAACTAAAAACAGTGTATTTAAATAAAACAATACAAAGACAAAGATATTATTGGAGTACAATATTGATCATGAAATAGCATTTCATCTACTATGAATACATTAATAAAGAAATGTTTCTTTCTAATGTTGTGATTTAGAATTACATGGCATGGGTTTCTAAATGAATAAGAATAATAAATGTTAGAATAAGTTTCCAAGGGCAGATGACTTCCTACATGAAGGAACTACAATAGGCAGGTGGTTTGGACCATGAAAATTCAGTCTCTGAAAAATATTAGGAGAAAAACCAAAACTTCAGTTTTCTAGAAAGGGAATTAATAAGTAAGTCTTTGTGCACTTGAAAAGATTAAAACCGTCTCGGCGCCTATAGCTCAACTGGCTAAGGCGCCAGCCACATACACCTAAGGTGGCGGGTTCGAATCCCCAGCCCAGACCCGCCAAACAACAAT